TTTTAGTGGGTTCATACATATCTATCCTTTCAAAAGTTGGAATATATATATATATATATATATATATATATATATATATATATATATATAGAGAGAGAGAGAGAGAGAGAGAGAGAGAGAGAGTTTATGAACATTTAGTCTCCAGATCAACAAGGATGTGCCGAATTAATTACTCTAACGAAACTGAAAGGCCTTTCAAGTGCTCTGATTGCATTAGAATACATAACAAATGAACAGAGTTCCTTTGTAGAAGTTGGGCTAAGAAGTAGAAATGCAGCAGCATCATAGGATGTTAGCCATCACTTAATCCATGCTTTGGGTGAGCGAAAACGATGTTTATGTCATTGCATTACAGTTCATGTCTTGCTGGCACCTGCTGGTGATGTATTTAGCTTCTTCAGAGATTTCACCAGCAGCTTTCCATCCATCATCAATTGCTGTGTTATTTGTGGGCAGACACCGGCTTGAATGCAATTAAACCAGCTGCTGTGAGCTTTCATTCTCACTGAATGGATTGGCTAAATGTTACTCTTAATACCATGTCAGAGTGAGTTGGCAGCAGGAAGCAATGTTTCTGAAGCAACACAGCACCCATTGTTTATGCCGTCCTGTTAGCTTCTTCCTTGTCCGTCAGACGCTTGTAGTAAGAGCTGCTCATCTCCATTAATGTCTCAACTCATTCATGTGATCCCATCATCTTCCTTGGAGTCACTACCAAAGTGTATCTTCGGCTCGAGGATATCAGCATGCAGTGAAGTTGGCGCCATTTAGGTTTTCTCAGTGAGTGATGCTGCTGTCTTCCATCTACTTCTACTTCTAGGATGCTGTGATGGTAGATTGAGTATCGAGAGTCATATATTAGGGTAGAAGAGGATCCACTACTTCTACTTCCAGCTGCTTAATCTTCCTGTCCTCGAAGCAATGAACATGGTGGATGCAGGTAAGAGAGAGAGAGTGTGTGGGATTGGAATGTGGTGACATGAGCATTACAAGGATGTGCACATCAGCTCGGACCCTCACATCAAGCAAACCTTCAATGAATATAAATGACTGCGTTGTGGGAGTACAAGTTGAATTGGCCACAGAGCACACAAAGATTCTCTATCTTCCCTCCTGAGCTGACTTAAATCTTAGGAAAATGACTTCTCTAGCAGCAAGTGGCAGCCAAGGACCCATTGGTTAGTCACACACCACTCTCATGTCATCTCACCTCTTCTCCCTCAGTACTGTGTCATCAGAAATGTTTTCCATGCAAACACTATCCGCACATATTCTCAAGCTTTCGAGGCTCCAACAGGTGAAGCTAATCAAGGAAATCCATACATATATATTTCGACATGGACGCACTCACGCTCCCCATGTAAATGTCGAAGAAACCATGATACGTCGTCAAAGTTGACCATCGATAATACCTGATTTGGTTTCTCTCAGGTTGTCGTTCGACATGCATTCAATAACTAGGAAGCCAAAACTCTCCCACTTAGCCTGAGAGTAAATGAAGGCTTTACGCACTTCCTATATGTTCCTTGTAGTTAAGCAAACAGTCAATTAAGTTCTAGAGAGGAGTCAACGTTGACTTCTGAGCAGATACAAATCACTACATGCCAATGTAGAAGTCACACAGGAGAGAAAACTCATGAGTCGTCCATGGAGCCTTCTGTCGACACAGGTGAGATCCACACTGAGACTTGATGCTCTTGTCATGCTTGGAGATCTGAGCCAGGCTTGCCCGTATCTTCCATTAATTGGACGTAAAGTCCATTTACTGAAAAGTAGCCTCCATTTAAGACCCATTTACTAAGCTAACCAGTGTTTCATTTACTCCTATTTACTTGATAGCTACGAATCCTTGGAGTTATTGGTACAATAAATCCCACTGAAGGGAATTAATTAATATGGCAATCCAGATATGGAGAAAAATACATTATCTTTTCAAGCAGGAAAGAAGTGTCATGAAATGAACGGGTCCAGACGCTTTACATCTCTCTTCCAATTACAAGTCACAACCCCAAGGTGTTTACATTGCAAGATATCGATCCATGTTCACCATCTACTGGCCATGTTGCATGCTGTGAGCTTGCTAACATGTTCTACTTAAAGAAGTGATGCATAACCTTTTACTTGTGTACTACAATCTCACAGCCTTCCCCCGCAATGGCCACATCTACTGCATACAATTTAGAGAGAGAGAGAGAGAGAGAGAGGAACAGCAACCAAAGTAAAGTATCGGTTGTTGTATTTAAGAACCCATCAGCCTCCTTTCGAATCTCTTCTTATATAAATGGCATGGGTGCACCGCCACCGGTGCACTCATCGTCATCCTTGGCAGTGCGGCCACACATCGGAGACACTTTGATCTACCCTAAGACGGATCCGTCGATCGATGCTTAAGTAAGCTGGACTCGAGGTATGCATTCCCTCATCTGTCTTCGGATACTTCTGTATCGTGCAGGGGCTACGCAGGCTATAACATCTGCAGCGGTTAACTCCAGAGATGAGCCGCAACAATGGGAAGAGCCCAGAGAACCTGAAGCCGACGAGGTTGAGAGGAGGGCCATCGACGAGGCCGGCGGCGGCGCACGACGACGAAGAGGAGTCCCCCAAGAGGTCCTCGTCTTCTTCGTCGTCGTCAAGGTCGCCGCCGAGTTCATGCGTCTCATCCGAGGGTGAGCAGAAGCCGTCCAACAGTCCCGAGGCGCCGCCGATGGTGCTCGCCGGGTGCCCCCGGTGCCTCATGTACGTCATGCTCTCGGAGGAGGACCCCAAGTGCCCCAAGTGCAACAGCACCGTGCTCCTCGACTTCCACCATGGTAACAAACCCACCACCACCAACAGCAAGACCAGCAAGAAGAGCTGAACCCTAAAGACGACGCTGCTTATATTCTCATTATTCCTAATGGTTCTCTCTTCCTGCATGTTATTTAAGACGATGCGCATTATTCGATCAAAGCTAATATGCATGGTAGTTTCTCTCTCTTGATTCCTCTACTGTTACCTAACTGGGGACATGCATGCATGTTGGCAGCAGAGGTCACACCATTTCTCCAAGCATACATCTTCTCCATCTGATTGCCAAGCATAAGACAAACTCGTAGATGCAACATTATTCTCTCTTGTATTCTCGATCTTCAACCTTCCTCTTCTGCTAGAGTAACACATAGACAAGAGGATGGTTATCATTAATGAAGATGGATGCAAAATATCTTGGTTTTCCGAAGATCAAGTAGGTGAAGCAGAGTGACAAATCTCACAGTCACACTCAAAGTAAGATCTAAACATACTGCACGCTAAAGATAAGTATTTAAGCAAACTTACAACATGCTACCTATTAGAGCACACCATAGAAAAATATTTAGGCAAACTTAAAACATGATTTTGCAGGTCGAGTAACAATGAGATTTTGTTTTATGATAATGGACTAGAAAGATGGACAACGAATAATATAATTGAATAATAAAGGCATAATTACATGGATAGAATGAAGATCTCGTCCATTATTTCATCAAAAAATAACTATAGTCTCACAAAAAACTTAATTCATTAATTATCTTCTTTTAAAGCTATAGATACAAAAATAAAAAAGAAAAATTACATTCATATCAAATCAAATATGTAATATCTTCCCTCTAGAGATAGTGAATGATCTGAAAAATAATCTTCCTCTCTTGATAATATTCAATCAAGATTTATAATTTTCAATAAAAAAACAAATATGATTTATTCTATACTTTCTTTATTTACTTTTTTTTTTCCTTCGTTGAGTAGATATTGACATGTAGCAATTTATTACATATGAAAAATATCCCCAAGCTAATTAATAAAGTTTATTTAAACAAAACATACCCTACGTCGGTTTCGCATCTTTTTCTTTTTCTTGCTACCTAAGACTTGATTGCATATTAAACTTATGCATGTGTTTATCACAAACAAATTTACTTCCATTTTGTAATGGAGTCTGATGCTACTCTAGTCTATAGTCAGCGATGAACTCGGCTTTTGCAGGTTAGTATATGGTTGGTCTCCATGAATTAGGTTTTCATGATGGGGTTCTGCTTGATGAACTTGATAATGCCATAGAAATTGGTCTTTGTCTGCTGCCTTCTAAAGTCACAGGAGAAAAAGACACTGCTGGAATCAGGATTAGCATCAGCCATGAGTGACTATGAGTTCATGAAGTCCTCATTCATACAATCCGATCGAACATTCGATGCAATCCATTTCTCTTGCATCTCTTTGATCAAAAGTTCAACCTGCCATATTGATCAAACTCAGCTCAACCTGATACGAATCGGACAAAGGAAGCACAAGAAAAGATTCACACCCCATTGTTTTCGGATATCATTTTATTCGTCGAAAATGAATCGAATACATAGTTGCATAAACATTTTAAAAAAATAAATAAATCAACATAGAACAAGCAATTTTCTCAATTCTTAACTAACTAATATGACTAATTCTCATTAATCTGGTTCTATCTTCCATTGGTTGAACACAAACTCCGTGGATCGACACATCGAACTACTCCAAATATGATAATAGATCAAATTCCCCTTCCATTGGTAAATGAGGTGAACAACAAGTAGAAACATGGATCTCAGTAAACTTCTAAACAATCTAATCCTTTGCTGGACCACAAGGATATGTTGCAAGGTGATTGACTTCTAATTGACCCAAAAACAGTAGGACACATTCCATGACAATGATCATAAAAGCATGATAATACAAACAGCTACAACTGTATAAAAAGCTATATTTGGTCCCTTGATTGCCTTTGGCTGTATGGTTCTTGCAGGAGCTACTGATGACTATGATGCTACAATAAAGGCTGAGAGATTGACCTTCCTAGTGTTGGTGGAAGGACAATCATACACCTTGAAATCCGGCTAATAGTCAAGAGAGCATAAGTTTGAAACAAAGCATGTGTAGAGTTGGTCCACATGACATCGACCTTTAAGCTATCATTAGGTGGTATGTCTCAGAGGAGATGGAGGAGCATTTGAATTATTGGCTCTCTGTGCTTGGTAAAGTCAATCCTCGTAGGAAGGAGTTGATGTCTTTGATTGACTTTTCACAATTAACTTATTGGTGGCAAATATTAACTCAAATTTATTTGGGTCAATTGTTGGAAATTTTTTTTAAGGTATTTTCTTTTTCATATTTCTCAATAGACGATCTCTATTTTAGTTTATAGGATAAGTCGATCTAATCTCTAATATGTAAGATTTACACTATAGTTATAATATTTTTGATACCTCCGTTAAGACAATATAAATCTATTCAAAAGCAAATAGAGTCAAAACCCATTGGTTCATATAAAAATTAAGGATTTTTTATTGGTTTAGTAACAAGATCAATTAAATATAATGGTTTTTATGTCAATTATAATATTTTTGAATAGATTTAGTAAATATATTCAAAAATATAATAATTGAGACATTATATTGGTAACAGAATGAGGATATCATTTGAAAAATATGAAAAGGTATTTGTCGAAAAAAAAATCAAAATAAATTTTTTTTCAAGAATATTCCGCTCAATTTACTTGCCATGTTTGTGAACCAAACAATAGATAGTGGGGCCTAAATTTGGATATGTTGTGGACATGAGATCTGTATTGTAATTGTCCGATATATGATGATGGAGGAGACAAGGATATAACTCTTGTTTCACCCTTTGAGATGTTAAGCAGACTTGGGCAAAGGTCTTGAGATAGATTACAGTGACTCACTGTGCCCACCTAGAGAGAGAGAGAGAGAGAGTATAGGCTAAACAAGAACACGTTTGACTTAGCTGAATTGACATGAACTTATTTGCACTTGATATAAAGATCGCACAGGCTCATGAGAAGACAAATTGCAGATGGTTAGAACCCTAAGATTAGGTACTTCTCCATAGCCAAAAGCTTCATTCTCCCATCTTCATTGCCTACTTCAGATTTGATCATCTCCTGCAGACGAGTCAGATGGTTAATTGCCTGTATGTTTGTGAGGAAGTGCGACAATGAAGTAAGTTGGGGTAGAGAAGATGGATCGAAGGAACAAGACACCATATCTGAGAGCTCAAGCAGGTCCTCATATCCCTTTTTTTCTATTTAGACGAAAATATCTTCAGTCTTTAAATAAAATAATTTGATCACTTAAAAATTGATAATTGGTTATCATAAAGTTTTCAAAAAATAAAAAAATAACTTCAAGATTATTAATATATTTTTTAAATAATTAGAGAATTTGTTTTGATAAAATATCCAATATTTTATACACAGAACATTCTTTTTTGTAATAGTGATTGTCAATCTTAAACAAAAAAATAAAAAAAAATGAAAGAAAATAATGATTGTCAATCTTCTTATAATCCATACACTTTCATAGTCTATATGGGATGACATGCATCCATTTGATAGATGTGTATATGCTGTAGCATTTTGTTCTTTGTTGGGCAGAACTATCAATTCTGGTACTCCCAGTCTGGTCTCACGTCTCGACCACGGTCAAAACTTGTAATCCCAACACAGGCAGCGAGCCGAGCTACCAGTCATCACCCAATGAAAGAATCGTAATGCACCCACCCGAAGCATGACTAGATGGAAGAACCCAATACATGGCAAGATGACAGATTGCTGGCTTGAAATTGCACCTTCTCAGGATGCAAACAAACAAGAAGCGCTCATCACAGCACCAGAGAAAGCTCCCATTCGAAAGCAGCCACTGTGCCATGAATCCCTTGAATCATCCAACCAGTATTTATTGCTCACATGCCTGATGATCCTATAGATCGATCTCTCTCCATTCCAGCTTCCCTTCATGCCTTAAATCCACCCTCCCTCCCTGTCAAGCCAGCCACATGTGTGGATCCTTAGCCTTTCACCCCTCACATCGGACTGTCATCCATTCTCCTGCTGTTCCTGCTCAGAGAAGGGAGATCGGGACATGGGCAGGAAACTAGGGTTTACCTATCTGTTCTCTAGAATGAGGGACGCAAAGCACGCCTCTTCTTCTGTACGTTCCGATCCTCCCCTTCCATGGACTTCTTGCCGGCACCCGAGAACCCGCTCCTTCAGGGAAGAGGACGGAGACGCAGAGCACGACGGCATGAACGCTTGCTCCTTCGACCTGACCGTGTCATGCAGCGAGAGCATCTCCACGGCGTGGGAGGACCCCAGCAGCGACGCCGCGGAGGCGGTCATTTGTGGGCTGAGGTCGGACCGGCTATTCTTCGAGCCGGGAGGCGCGACGAGATCGATAGTGGCGGAAGAGGAAGCGGCCGACGCCGACAGCATCCCCTTCGAGGGGAGCATCGCCATGGCAGTGGACTCGGAAGACCCCTACCGGGACTTCAAGCAGTCGATGGAGGAGATGGTGATGGCTCACAGCGTGAAGGTCGACTGGGCGTGGCTTGAGGAGATGCTGACCTGGTACCTGAGGGTCAATGGAAAGAAGACTCATGAGATCATAGTAGGGGCCTTCTTGGACTTGCTTTTAAGCCTCGCGCCATCTCCTTTCTCTTCTTCCTGTTCGTCCTGCACCTTTGGGATCGAGGAGGAGGAGAGCGTGTAAGGTGACATACCTTGTTCGTGTTACAGTCACTGTGTACCCGTAGCCAACCAACGAAGGTACGCATGAACACGAGTTGCCAACAGCAAGGCCATGGGTGCTGCCGTTTTTGTCTTGGCAAAAGGGAAATGTGAATTCCTTTGTTGCCAATACTACACGAAGCACCAATTCCTTTGTTGCTTCATGGTGATTCCTGTACTTTATAGTTCTTGTGCTTCCAGTACAAGATTGACGATTCCAGGAATCAAAATATTGTGATGCTGGGAATGTTGAGAAGCATAAGACAGTCTTGGATATACAATATTACTATGCATTCGCTGTTCATAGATCTACTGATTCTTCAACAGTAGTTACTTAAATGGTTACGAAGAAAAATGCACGTAAATGGACCAGATAAAGAGAGAAGATGTGGAGTGAGCGAGCACGAAGGAGAAGAGGGAGAGGCATCGGCAGAACTGTACAGGTTGTAAGTAAGCCAAAAGGACTGTGGCCTACCACATGCTGAGACGAGACTATGCATCCACAGTACTATGAACGACTGACATCATAGTACTTGAATAGTATGTTTTCAGCTACGGAATCAATAAGTAATTGGTCTTCTCGTCAACATCAGCAGCAGGTCGTGTCCTTATCTTTTTGGATGATGTTATGGACACACTCCAAGCCAGCCAAATATTACCTCAGTTTACAGGTTAATGTAAATTTCTTTCCCCTTCTTCTTTCTTGGATAATCTCAGTTCCTTGAATTAAGTTTCTGACATTGATCATGTGAATCGATCATTTTGGTTCAGTCGTATTTGAAATTCGAAAACATTTCCCGGTGATTTGATTTTGATTCTGATTCTGATTCGAGAACATTTGATAATAGAAATAGTTAGGTTTCAGCTATAATTATGTTTTCCTGTAGCCATGATTGACTGAGAAGCAACCTGACCTTGCACCTAAATAGTGCAAGTTCACCGATGGAGACCTCTAATTCACCTTCAAGCTGTTCCCTAATAGGAGTAACACAGCCTCATCATCTCCATCTCCAGTTTGAAGCATCCACAGCGGCGTTGTATCCTCTGCAAGAGCGAGTAGCACTGACCGCCTGCAGTTTGATGCTACTAGCCCTGCAGCTTTGGCGCAGAGATGCTGTCCTCGCGTGGGGCGTAAAAGACCGCAGTACCTGGATCGCCGTGGCGGGCATGGACTTGTGTGGACTGCAGCCGCTGTCATACGGTGGCGCAGCGGCCGCGGCATGCATGCAACTGCGCGCAGTCGGTTAAATCATCCCCGGTGGACGACGTCGCAGGAAGTGTACCGGGGAACTGTGGATGAACAGGCATGGAGCTGTGGCGCTGACGCTGCGTCCGGCCACGTTGGACCACGAGGGCGACGTCGTCCCCTCCTGCCCGCCGTGGGTACGGCGGAATCGTCGGGCAGGTCACTGCAGGCTCCGACGTTGATGGTCGCCGGACAAGTGTCGCTGTGGCAAGTGGGTTTTCGTTTCCTTTCTTTTTTTCATGGGAGTAAGGGGTTCCGTTTGCTAGTGAAAAAGACGCCATTGTTTCATGGGAGTAAAGGTGTTTTTATTTCTTTTTGTAAACGATAAAAATGGTGATAAAGTAAGTGTTTAAAACTTAAGCTAAATAAAATCTTATAATGAATATTATATATAAATATAATTTATCAGATTTTTTCCCTTTTAAGATGAAGATTAAAAGAATATTAGAAATTATCTTATATATATACATTGAATCTATTTCATAAATTGTTATGAAGAAATTTATGTCAAAAAGGAAGAAATGTTACAGGGGATTAAGAATAATTTGAAGTTGTCAAGGATCGAGCGGGCTGTCACAGATTGAGGTCGCCTCCTTCGGCGTCGGCCTCCTTGCCGCGACCGGCGCCCACCTGGGCTCCTCCAGATGCTCGGGGTCACCGCCATCTCGCGGCACCCCTTGCTTCCCAGGCCGGACTCCTTGGAAGAGGTCGAGTTCTCATCTGGGGACGCTTGGGCCATGGCCGTCCGGTGTCCGCGTCTCTTCTGCTGCAGCATAGAGGAGAGGCCAAAGGCGGAATCTTTTTGTGTCTGAGGGAGTCTCCGCTGCACTTCTCGCGCAGCTTACCCTACAGGATAAGTCCGTGGCATCAGGCATGGAAAGCGAAGGGTCCGTCCTAATCCTTGCCTGCATTGTTGAGGCGGAGCAACGAGCAGTTCAATGTGCAATCGAAGATACGTACTCGATGTTCCCCTCCACTTGCAAGATCGTCTCTTTGTTGCAATTTTGGATGCTGATCTATAGCTTATCTTCTTATTTCGTTGGATTCTGCATACAACGTGCTGATCTCCGTTGCACGGTAGATGTTCGATGAATTAACTAGGCAATTCTAGAGATAACCAAGCTTACAAGCTTTGGTCAAAAATAAACCTTGAGTGCCAAATGTTAATCTTTAGCCATGAATGTACACTAAAACTTCATGACAGGGCAGGGCAATTAACACAACTATCTGCATCTTTGGGTTACGTCTCCTCCTGGATGCAGATGTTTTGGTCTTAATACTTATTTCTGCTGTTGCTAAGACTTGCAAGCTTAGAGTCAATTGAAATTGCTTCAGAGCTTTCCCTTTAGTGTAGTGTCAAACATCGGATTGTCTGATTGAGGTAAATAGAAAGGCTAATAGAGTAGCAATGCCCTCGTATTTAGATTTCCAAAATGGCAAGAAGTGATGCATTATGCGTATGTTGCTGGGAGAATAAATTTACTCTGGTTTAATTGAGTTTTTACTGGTAATGGTAGTGAGATGGGAGTAGGGAATATTGGTGTCATCCATTGTTCTGACAACATTAGAGATCAATAGAAAATAATGGCTAACAAGATTCTTTCTCCAGGGAGGAGTTGAAAGAATTTTGATCTGTTAAATTTAGCTACACATCTCTCTCTCTCTCTCTCTCTCTCTCTCTCTCTCTTCAAGTTTACATAACCTTGCCAATTCTCTAATGTGATTGTTCCTGTCATATTTAGATAGAGATCTCCTGCTATCTGTGAAGAATGAGTTTTTATTTTTTAAGTAGAACTGAAGTCTATTGATTAACTGTGGTTAGACAGTAATACTGGTCCATAATTAGAGTATGTGCTATTTCATTCACATTTCTGTCAATGTGTTCAACACTGGCCACCTTGAGATTGTGGTAAAGAATGAGTTTGAGGGTGCATAGCAACCAAATTATGATCTTTGTCATCTAATTCTAACAGGTTTTATGTCAAATCCATTAGAGCATTCTATTATTTCAAATGTATCTATCAACATAATTATAACCTTTATCAGTTGATCTTTAGCATCTGTTGGGACATGGAGATCAATCTGTAGACAGCTTTCTGATAGGTAATGTGATCATGTGCATGCATCAGGAAAGTAGATTTAATAGGTCTTGTACCCCTGTCAACTGAGAGAGAATGTATTTCATTGTATTGATAAAGGGAAATAGAAAATCTTGGACTATATCTTTAGAAGATTATGTTAACAAGTAAATCTTCTTATGGATCAGAAGATGCTTACTGGTTTGATCTGTAAGGTATTTGAATCATCATCTTTCTTATAAGAATTTACCATCTATCATTATCCACACTCTTCAAACCATTGGAGTTTGTTGTAACTTTGAAGGGTTCCAAGACTTGTTCTCTCTCTCTCTCTACTAGGATGAGTGGCTTCTCTAAGCTTTCTCTTGTTCTCCTTTCCAGCCTCGTCCTCCTTGTCCTATGTCTCACCCTCAAGCTTGTATATTGGGTATGGCGTCGTCCGAGGTCTCCTCGGAGACCTTCCATTGATGACGGTGATGCCCAGATCTCCAAGGAGCACATCCTGCTCTGCCTTTTCCGCAGGAACCAAACTCGTGTCGAGCCCAACCCCCAGGAGGAAAAGGCGACACCGCCGTCGAAGATGTCGACCGCGGAGGAGCGGACGACTGCTGCAGATGATGAGGATGCCTTTGAGAAATACCAGGCAGTGTGTCGTTATTCGTCAAGAATGCTGTACACCATCGAGGAGGTGGAGGAGGAGGAGGAAGAAGAAGAGGAGGGAGGGGCAGGGACGAGCAGGCTGAGCAGTGACGGAGAAGGAACGCAGTTCTTCACACCGGCAGCGTCACTGTCACCGTCACGTGAAGTGCTGGAGATCGTGGATGATTAGAGCGAAGAAGAGATGTGAATGAGATGGTCGGCCGGACGCGTTGCAGATGCAGGTTTCCTACGAAAAAGGTCATTAATTTTTGTTGGTCGAGAAGACGAAGGTTATCATCTTCATCTGCTTGTCGAGGAGCCATTGTTGTGTGGACTTCTCTTGCTTCATCCCTTCCCGATGAGCAAATAGTTTTCGGAAGTAATTAAAGGATTAATTTCGATACGTGAAATCTCTCTTCGTCGTCTAAGTTAAACATAAACGCTGTTTTAGATGTCTTGGTTAGGCATCTGTTCCGATTCTTGTAGATTTGTTTACTAATTCAAATCCTTATCAACCTTAATTATTAATCTTATTGTAGATTTTGAGGTTTAATAAAATGTATGAAAATAATCACACTACAAAGAAAGGTTTTCTCTTATGATTATTAAATCAACCAAGACAACATGTAGAACAATTACCTTAGCAATTGATATGACATTAAATGGTAGCTTGAATTATCCCTTATTCCACTTGTATATGATGTTCTAGTTCTTATAAAAGACGACATTTGATAAAGATTAAGTTAGTACTTATAAGTTTGTTTAGTTTCCTTTTATTCTCCTCATATTCTCTTCATTTTTATAATCGTCGATTTAACAAGAAAAAATACTTTTTAGATGATTTATTGAGGTAGGATACTCTGTAAACGTTTCATTATCTTTAATAGTTGACTTAGTGTACCTACTACTATATTATGACTAGATTCTACATGTCAAATCTTGATCGATCGAAAATAATAAACTTGATCAGGTCCTAATATAATTTTATAAGATTTTTCATCTAATCGAGCTCCTTCCTAACATCAAAAACTTATAACTAGTTATTATGAGTAGGATCGTAATTAGTTCCAAATCTCGTTATTAGCGAAACCAAAATTCTAGTACATAGATCTAGAAATACTTTGCAAATGGGTGTGTTATGTATTCATCTATCCACGAGACCTATTTCAATTTGATTCAATCATCTATGATGATAAAATTTATGAGAAACTGCATAGTTAAGAGTCAAATATGACAATTTGACAAAGCAATTTTGATAGACAAAAAGATTTTTTAAATATTTTTTTTAGACTTTCTATTTCGTTTAAATTTGATTAAAAAAAGATGGATCAATTTTATATGAAACGAATAATATTATTTATCTAATCCAATTCCTATTTAATCGATCCGGTCTCATACCATATTGATTCAATTCGATCGGGAGTCGGCCCGACTAGATTTCGATCAAAAATAATTATTTTCTAAGAGGATGATATTTTTATCATTTGAAAAAGGTAATAGACATATGTATGTATTATGAAAATAAGTGGTATTATCTAAAAAAAATGAGAATTTTCAAGGAAATCATACTATATTATTTTAATTTGTCTACAACAATAGGATTTTGTGGTGGGTTGTGATTGGTAGAATGGATAGGTAATGTGGTTGACTGGTGGTCTGGTCAACCTTCTTCTGGACACGTGGCAGTTGCCAAAAGAAGGATAAATCGAAAGAGAAGGCATGGCATGCAAAGAAAGCATTAGCTGTTTGTCTTGTCCTACGGTCGCGCTTCGCGGTATACCCGCGGCGAAAGCGGCGTCTGCGTCGCGCGCTTCTCCCTCTTATCCTTCCTTCTCCCTCCTCCTCCTCCTCCTCCGTCTGTCGGTGCCGGAAACACACGGACGGCATCTGAGGAGGGAAGGGAGAGATGGAAGGAGACCGTCCGCTGGAGTGCGGCGTCACCATCAGGTCCTCCTCCGTCTCCAGCGACCCCGGAGTCAGCAACCGAGACCTGGGCCACGGCGGCGGGAGCGGGAGCGGTCGTGGAGGGAACGCCACCTGGAACAGGGTTGTCATCGTGGGAGGCGGCATCGCCGGATCTCTCCTCGCCAAGTCCATCCAGTTCCACGCCGACGTCGTCCTCATCGACCAGTACAACTCCCCGCCCCCTCCCTCTTCCATCTTCCATCCTTCGCCTTCCTCAGCCTCCCTCCTCCCCCTTTGCTTCATCTCAGGAAGGAGTATTTCGAGATTCCCTGGGCGACACTGAGATCGACGGTGGAACAACCAGTCGCGGAGAAGGCCATATTCTCCCACACCGATTACCTTGTGAATGGCACAGTCATCACGTCATCCGCTGTCGATGTCACAGAGACGGATGTGATAACTGCAGATGGCCGTCATGTGACATACGACTACCTCGTCATCGCTACTGGTCACACAACTACATCTCCCAGATGCAAGAGAGACATGATCGAAAAGTTCAAAGAAGGCATGTCACCGATAACTCCGATGCACTCGGCATAGACATATGCGTCTCTGTACCCAACACCCTGTTCTTCTTACCAACTTGCTTCGATTTCAGCTAATGTAAAGATGAGAACTTCTAGCTCGGTTCTGGTCATTGGAGGCGGACCAGCGGGGGTTGAACTTGCTTCAGACATCGCATCAGTCTATCCAGACAAGAAGGTGACTTTGGTTCATAGTGGATCGAGGTTGCTCGGATTCATAAGTCGCAAAGCCGGCAACAAGGCCTTGGAGTGGCTAAGATCGAAGAACGTTGATGTGCTTCTGGAGCAGTCGATTGATCTGGACACCATATCCGAGGCAGATGGCATTTACATGACTTCCGCCGGAGAGGCCATAGCAGCCGATTGCTACTACGTCTGTGTGAACAAACGTTTGGGTTCCTCGTGGCTCAGGAAGTCAATGGTGCTGAAGGATTCCCTGGACATATACGGTCAGCTGAAGGTCGATGAGCACTTGAGAGTCAAAGGCCGAAACAATATCTTTGCCATTGGAGATATCATTGATGTTCCTGTAAGCCTTCTCCTCTGCTTGCTTGCTTGCAGCTTTGGGTCATTCATTCTACCGGAATTCTGATCTCATAGATCTATAATGTTGGTGTTTGTTGACGGGCAGGAAAGGAAACAAGGGATGCTTGCGCAGAAGCACGCCGTGGTGGCGGCCAAGAACCTGAAGCAGCTGATGAAAGTGAGTAACAAGGAAACCAAGCTAAGCAAGTACAGGCCGTCGATCTCGATAACGATGGTCTCGCTGGGGAAGAAGGACGCGGTGGCGGAGCTGCCATTCACGACCATGTCGGGGTTCCTGCCGGGGCTGATCAAGACGAGAGAGCTGTTCCTTCGCAGGACAAGGAAACTTCTGGGTGTGGATCATCACTCTGGATTCTTGTAAAGCATTCTCTGGTACATAGTTCTCTTTTATGCTCATCAAACTGTAGCTGTAGCTCAACATGTTCTTGGTGTAGTCATCTCCAATTCCTTCTTATTCCTGGTTTGTTGTTGTTGTTGTTGTTGTTGTTGTACACTGATCTCAATACTCTTCCCATCTTTAACATGTATCTGATTACTGTTAAACACTGTATGTAATAGTAGCTTCATGAGCAGCTCGCTCCTGTTTGCTAAAGAGGATACTGTGATGTCTCTGTGATTTGATACAGCAGCTACTTTGAAGGAATTTGAGAAGACAGAAATCTGGATTGAGCGCTAGATAGAATGATATCTATGAACTATCATGTAAAAGATCCTTATATTCACTTAAAGAGAATGAACTTAGTGTTCATCAAGATGACAAAACATCCTGTGCCATTCTCAGCGAAAATGGGAGACACAAAAAGCTATATTTCTCCAAATCATCAGTGACAAAAACATCTGCATTCGAGTCCATTAAACTGGTAGAACAAAACCCAATTTACCATCAAATCAAACAGAGCAATTAATGTCACAACTCTTTCTATCATGACTTTTCTTTAAGAACCCTCAAAAGGGTTTCATCAACAAGAACTTGGAAACAAGAAGAAACAACATGCTGAGTTCATTCACCGGCCATCCGCAGAATTGAAGGACTCCGCGAATCCAGCAGGCCTGGCTGGGATGCTTCCTTTACTGTCTTGAAGGTTGATCGAACTAGTCGTATCACCAGCATGCTGCCATCTCTCCACCATCTGAAGAAGGGGTTGATGAAAATCTAAAGCGTAGTAATCCTGTTCCTGATCACCGGTTGTTGTTGGTATCCATTTCTCGACAAGCGGAGCAAGTACACCTACTGCATGCCCCATATCAGGCCGCTGGTGAGGCTCGCGTGCGGCACAATGGCCTGCTAGTTCAGCAATGATGGAAACACCTTCGAACGTCTCATCGGTGATGTCTATAGACGGATCAACGATGCTCCTTAGATCCTCCGAGCTGGCCTTCATCCTGCAGAACCAGGAGGCCAGGTAGCAGCTTTCATCGGGTCGTTTCTCATCCAGTGCCATCATACCAGTCAGTAGCTCCATGAGCACAATACCAAAACTGAAGACATCGACTTTGGTCGTAACTTTGCCGGTTACTGGTCAAGCCACAGTAGAAGATTTGGATTAATCCATGTCTCGGTTGCACAAAAGTATGAAGAAAATTACTCGAACAAAGGATTAAACGTATGATGTTTAACTGTAGTATTGCATTCGGCAAAACTTTCTGAGAAATAATTTGTTGCAGTCATAGCAATTAAAATATGGAACGGGTATTTGTAAGAACGAGCAGAAAAAGACTGGCAAATCAAAATATGACAACCATTGAAACTTTGAGAAGATTCTGAATTTTCTCTAACTCTTATGACTGACAGATACATAGAATGAAAATACTGAAATTGGATAGAATAAAAGATCTAATGAAGAATCAACTCGAAAAGAACACAGGAAACAACATTAAAGCAAGGTTGTGCGTGTGTGCATTGTCAAGCAAACAAACATCAAAGAAACAGTCAGAAGAATGTTATGCTAAGTGATCTGCAGTAGACAATGTTTGGCTCTGCTAAGTCAGTTTTATCGAGTGTCGATTGCGACAACCAGAAATTTAGTAACGAAAAGCCGAAAACAATTTACTAAAGAGTGATGACATGATTTATAGGAAACTAGATTTCTGTTCATCTGAATTCGCATGCATACAGGAAAAGCATTCAAATGTTCAGGGATTTACCAGCATACTCTGGAGCCAAGTATCCGAATGTCCCAGCAAGTCTAGTTGCAATAGATGCTTTATTGTTTGTGGCAAATTTGACCAGTCCAAAATCTGAAATTTTTGCTCTGTAATCATCTCTTAGTAGTATGTTGGAAGACTTGAGATCCCGGTGAATGAAGGACTGGTTAGCCAAACAATGAAGGTACTCCATCCCTCGGGCAACATCCAATGCGATGGTTAGTCTCTTCTTCCAACACAAAGGTTCCAACCCCTGCTCCTTCCATTGGAAGAGATGCTTGCTCAAAGCTCCGTGATGCATGTACTCGTATACTAGAAGTCTCTCATTGTCCTCTGCAGAGTAACCAAGAATAGAGACCAAATTACGGTGTCGGACCTTTGAAAGAACAGCAATCTCAGAATGGAATTCATCGAAAGCTTTGTTATTTGGAACACCAGACTCCATCCTCTTCACTGCTATCAATGTTCCATCATGCAACTCCCCCTTGTAGACCACACCGAATCCACCCCGACCAAGAACATTCTCGGGAGCAAAGTTTTTCGTAGCAACTCGAAGCACTTGGATTGTTATCGTCAGGTTGCCTGAGTTGATGGCGGGTGTGCCACTATGATCACCGATACCGATAGTAATTTTAGGTGTCAAATCAGCTGAGCTTTCTGGATCATCAGGATTCGTAAGACGCAAGATGGAGGAATTTGGCACTGCAGTCACATTGGTTTTACCCTTCCGACGGCAGTACCAAAATAGAATGGCAAATAGTATAACTGAGGCTCCAACTACAGTTGCAATGATGATCTTCGCGCTAGAAGTAGAAGATGAAGATGTGTGGCTAGGCGAGGCAGGTGGGTTATTGCTGCCGGAACTGGGAGGAGATGCTGGAGGAGGAGGAGGAGTTGCTGGAGGAGGAGATGCTGGAGGAGGAGGAGATGCTGGAGGAGGAGGAGATTTTGGAGGAGGAGGAGATGCTGGAGGAGGAGGAGATGCTGGAGGAGGAGTTGCTGGA